TAGTAACTTCTTGGCATTTCCACTATGAGATGGCACAATAAGCACATGTTGTAACCTCCCTTTCCTGCCTCAAATCCTTAGAAATTTGAAAATATCTGAATAAAAATCCAGAACCAAGCAAGAGAAGAGGTGGTAAACTAGACACTCTGAAGAATTCCTGGTGGGACAAGATTAAAGACAAACATTAATGCCTAACAATGCTTCTTAAAAATGAAAGACAGAAAGGTGGTGGATACCAGAAGCAGCAGGGGATCCTGAGGCAAACTCCAGCAGGATACACTGGACTCTTGCAATAGAAACATTTAAGCCAGTGTCCACGTCTGCATCCTCATCTGGAATGCATAGTCAGGCACTGGGTGAGGGCCCTTGGGTCTGAGAAACTCAGCAGTAGCCAGAGTTGCTGATAACATCTAAGAACAGGGAGCCTCCAAGAGCAGAAGATCAGCCCCTGGCACAACCACCTGGCAGCTCCTGCACCTCACCTTACAATAGCCATCTGTTGTACAACTGAACCGAGCAGCACACCCCACCTCTCCTCCACTATTAGGTGGCAGTAAAACAACATTCCTGATCAGACTAACAGAGAATGTCAAAAATAAAAAATAAGCTTTCAGCTAAGAATCACCACATATTTGAAGAATGCTAACACCAAGAAAGAGAGTTACCATGCAAATCAGGCAATTCAGACCTTTCAGATACATGTAATTTATATTCTCTGAGAGATTTAAGAGGCTACCATCCATGGGGGGAAAAACAGCTAGATTTCCTAGAAATTAAAAAGCTTGATTATTAAATAAAAAAGTCAATAGCTGAGCCAAATAGCAGGATAGACAAAAGTGAAGAATAAATTAAAACAGAACACTGAATTGAGGAATTATTTTAGAAATCAGTCCCAAAGGGTAAAAAGATGGAAAGTAGTATATATACACTATATTACACACACACACACACACATACACACACACGTAAAAATAATATGGCAAATTTAGAAGTTCCAACATTCATGTAACAGGAATTCTACAAGGAGAGAATAGAGAGAACAAATCATAAAGACTACTCAAAGAAAAGAATAAAAGAGAATAATTTCTTAGAACTTAAGAAACTCCTGTTCCCCTGGGCCTCCCATAGTGTCCCATGTCGGAGCAAACTGTGGCCCTGAATCACTGTCTGGAATCTGCCTTTAGGCTGCTGGCACTGCAGTGGGTTGCCCAGTAGGAAAAAAAAAATTAAAAAGAAACATAAGTCTTTAGATTAAAGATATAAAAAGTATAGTGCAATACAAATAAAAAAGGACTGTATCCTAATAAAATTCCCCAATCCTGGGCTGGAATTGTAGTTCAGCAATAGAGCACTCGCCTAGCATGTGGGAGGCCCTGGGTTTGATCCTCAGCACCACATAAAAATAAATAAAATAAAGGTATTGTATCCAACTAAAACTAAAAAATAAATATTAAAAAAATTCCCCAATCCTCCTAGCCCTAAATCTGAAACGCAACCAAAGCAAAAGAAAAACCAACAAAAACAGATCACCTTATAAAGGCGTAAGAATCAGATTGACTTCACATTTTAGCAGGTAATGATAAATACCAAAAATACAATAGCTAAAAAACATAAACAACCCAAATGTCCATCAACAGGTGAATGGATAAACAAAATCTGGTATACAAATACAATGGAATATCAACTTTAAGAAGGAAGAGAATTAATGCATCCTAGAACTAGGATGAACCTTGAAAATGTTATGTTAAATGAAATAAGCTGGACACAAAAGGACAAATCTTGTTTGAGTCTACTTATATAAGATAGCAAGAACAGGCAAATTCACAGAATCAGAGGAGAGAGAGGAAGAAATGGAAGTTAAGATTTAATGGGTACACAGTCTGTTTGGAATTATGAAAAAGTTCTACAAATGGATAGTGATGATACTTAGATAATAATTTAAGTGTATTTAATGTCACTGCATTATACTCTCAAAAATAGTTAAAATGATAAATTTTATGACATATATATTTACCACAATTTTAAAAATTAAAAAAGTAAAATATCTAATTATCATAGAAGAAATTAAAAGAACAAAGATCTGCATCTAAAATATGTAATACACTCAAATGGTTTTACAGGAATGATCTACCTAGATATCATGGGACACTATCCACAATACATAATTAATTCCTATTAATCAACCAAGTATGGCGGTGTAAAAGCCTACAATCATAGCTATTTAGGAGGCTGAGGCAAGAGGATCACAAGTCCTAGGGCAACTTAGGGATCTTAGCAAGACCCTGTCTCAAAATAAAATGTAATTAAAGAGAGTTGAGGATGTAGTTTAGTGGGTGGAGTGATTGCTTAGTATGTGTGAAGCCCTGGGTTCTCAATCCCCAGTATCATAAAAGAAAAAAAAAAGGAAGAGGAATTCCTAAAAATTAAAACAGACACCTCACCAAGGAAATGTACATGACCAATCATCAAAAGGAAAAAAGATTAGCCTTACAGTAACCCAGGAAATGAAAAACAGCAGAACTAGATACATTTTTCTTCAATCAGATTGATACAAATGAAAACTGATAGTATCAAATGTTGTTGAAAGTACAGGGAAGCGGGCAGTCATGTCCTCACAGGTGATACTATAAAAATATAAAGCTTTTTTTTGAGGCAGGGGGAATAAGTAATAATTATCACAATTTTAAATGTATATAATCTTGTGACTACTCTAAAGAAATACTTGAATATGTATGAAAGGAGGTATATTTTAAAAATTAGGAAAAATCTAGTGAAATGAAAATGGTTAAATAATCTGTGGAATGTTATACTCTGGAATTCCATGCACAGAATGAGTTAGAGCTATACATATTAATGTTGGGGGGGGGGGACCTAAAATATGTTGCTAGGTTGAAAATGAAAAGCAGGTTTCAGAACAAAGTAAGTAGTATAAAGGCATCTACTTAAAACAAAACCACAAAATGCAACTATAGATTCATGTAAATGAACAAATAAAAATCTGGAGGGCCAGGCAGAGGGGGTGTGCCTATAGTCCCAGCAATTTAGGATACTGAAGTAGGAAGATCATTTGAGCCCAGGAAGTTGAGGCCAGCCTGGACCACATAATGAGACTCTGTCAAAAAAGGAAAAAAAATTTTCAGAGGGATAAGCATTAACAGTCACTCTCTATAGGAAGAGTAATGAGATTTGAAGTACGGTTAAAGGAAACTTAAATCTCATTTGTGTTTTTGACTTTTTTAAATGAAGGAGAATGTACCCATGAATTACTTATATAATTAAATATAAAGAAATTTAGAGGGCTGGGGATGTGGCTCAAGCAGTAGCACGCTCGCCTGGCATGCGTGTGACCCGGGTTCGATCCTCAGCACCACATACCAACAAAGATGTTGTGTCCGCTGAGAACTAAAAAATAAATATTAAAAATTCTCTCTGTCTCTCTCTCTCCTCTCTCACTCTCTCTTTAAAAAAAAAATAAAGAAAGAAATAAGAAATTTAGAAAAAGGGAAGTCTGGTCAGGAACAGTGATGCTCACCTATAATCCCAGCATCTCAGGTGGCTGAGGTAGGAGGATCGCAAGTTCAAGACTAGCCTCGTAACTGAGAGAGACTATATAAAAAATAAAAATAGCTGGGTATGTAGCTCAACAGTAGAACACCCCTGGCTCAATCACCAATACAAAAATAAAAAAGGAAAAGAAAGAAGAAGAAAAAAATCTGCTGCAGTCAGGCCTTACTAAGAAAGAGATTCGAACATGATGGTTGCTGCCCTTTCATTTCTTCTTTGCTGCAAGGAAGGTTAGAATTTGTCAGTCACCATTATCTCTTCCTTAGTGTTTTCTAAGAGAAAAGGCAATGAATTAACCACACCTCACCCTCCTTTAGAATCCTCATATTTCTTTGTTACAAGCATCTATCTTTCTTCTTATTGGATCTGCATTTGAGATTAAAAGGAAACAGTGGTAGGAAGGAAAGAATAAAGTTAGAGAGAAAGTCATAATTTTATCATATCTGAAGTTCTAGTGGCATATTTTCTAAAGATTGTCACAGTAGGCTGGGGATGTTGCTCAGGGGTAGAGATTTACCAGGCATGAGTGAGGTCCTGGGTTTGATCCCAAGCACACACACACACACACACACAAAAAAAATTGCCCAGCCATACATCCCAGTCTACATGCTCTTTTACCAATGTGACTTTGACAATTCTCCAATTGAGCAGGTAAGGGAAGAGTTCTTTCCTCTTGAACCTTGAAAGCCTTGTGGCTATAGCAGAAGTGATGCTATGTGGCTTTCAAGGCCAAGTTCTCTTGGGATGCTCATTCTTGGAACCCAGCCATCTTACCATGAGGAAGGCCAAGCAGCCCACAGAGGAAAACAGGGATCCCAGTCCACACCTGAGTGAGCTCCCAGTGACAATGAGCATCAATGTATCAGCCATGAACTTGGTTCTTCCAATTCCCTCTCATGCTGCCTCAGCTGACACTGCATGGAGCACAGAGTTCTCACTGAGCCAAAATAATTGTTTCAAGACAACAAGTTGGGCTGGGAATGTGGCTCAGGCGGTAGCGCGCTCGTCTGGCATGCGTGCGGCCCGGGTTCGATCCCGAGCACCACATACCAACAAAGATGTTGTGTCCGCCGAGAACTAAGAAATAAATATTAAAAATTCTCTCTCTCTCTCTCTTTAAAAAAGAAAAAAAAAAGAACAAGTTTTGTGATTTTGTGATTATTTGTGACAAGAAAATAACTGGGACAGTTTCCTTTACAAATGTGGACACTAAGAATTTTGCATATATACTACAGTAGCTATCTGACATAGGTAGCTCAGAAGACATTATAAGTGGCATTATAGGGGGATCCCAACATCACACAGATTTAGATTAGATAACAACTGAGGTTGCTTCATACAATAAGATTCAACCATGAGCATGTAGAGCTCAGCACTTAAGCACTTCCTATGTCATCTTTTCTCAAATGAGGACCTTTTCTTCAGTGACATTTTACCTTTCAGAAAGCTGCCGGATCTGTGGAATCCCCATATACTTGTGGAAGTGTTCCAGAACATTCATTACACCCTGAAGAAGATTAGCAACTTCTCCATACTGTCTGCGCCTGGTCATGGCTCTGCAAGGAAATTAGAAGTTGAAAGTTCTTTAAAAACAATAACAACAACAACAACAAAACCCCACGAGATATAGATATAGACAAAATTGCTCTAGCTCTAAAATATACATCAACTCAATTTAATAAATATTTACCAAATGCTGGATGTGTATAGCGCTGTGTTCTGGGTGATTTTGAAAAAAAAAAAAAAAAAAAGATGTGGCCCAAATCCTCAAGGTGACACCATTCAATAAGGGAGAAAGTCAAGTACACATGAAAATAATTGCTAGATTAAATAGAAATACAAGTCATGTGCTACAAATGGTACAAAAATGTGTGAGTAGATGGATTGTCACTGGGTGGTGGGAGGAGAATCTTGGCAACTTGATTCTGGATTTGCATTGGGCATTATTGGATGAGCAGGGTTTTAACAGAGATGTTACTATCTGAGGATTGTAGCATATGGACAAACCACACTATCTTTCAGGATACATACACATCTATATACATTTACGGGTTAAATCTGTAGGTTTTAAGCCAATATAAGCAACTCTGTGTCAGAGATGTCCACTTTCCCTACTGTAAGGTTAATGAAGCTTAAATAAAAGATGCAGATAAAATCAACAGTTACACACAAGGAAGTACAACTATTAGATCTAAATTTTTCATCAGGGTTGTTCTTTTACACTAAGTGTATAATTTATTATTTTCCTTCAGAGGCATTTGAAAAGGCAGGCTCAAGTTCAAGCCAAGGTGTTATGCTGCTACCACTGGACACTTGAGGGAAGGAATATCGCAAACTGTTCTTCCAGTCCTGCTGACTTGTTTTCTGGATGATCACTCCTTGCACGAGAAAAGACTAGGGATTCCTTGATGTCCAGGCTATACCCAGGAGCACTCCAAAGGAGTCTGCTCTCTTCTTTCCTTCCATGCATTCCCTTATTCCCATCATCCCAAGATTTTGGATACTGTATCAACATTTCTTTGAAGAGGCTCTTTTTCTATCCTTTAAAAAAATTACACTGAGGCTGGATCAGAGGAAATTCTCAGCCTGACACAGACTATAGAGGTAAACTGAAATGCCAGAGAAGGAGGATTTGGATGGATCCTTTGCAGTAAATAATCAGCTCCTACTTTCAAACCTATTTTTAAGGTACTCATGTCTCATTCCCTCTATCAGCCAAACAGGAAGCTTCTGTCTTTGGAAAATTTTTTTAAAAAGTGGGAGGCTGAAGTAGGAAGATCACGAGTTTAAGACCAACCTGGGCAACACAATAACACCCAATCTTAAAAAGAAAAAAAAAAAAAAAGTGGGTTGATGATACATCAAAGATCTGTTTCCAAAGGTGTCAGGTGACAGACTGTGCAACTCAGTCCAATACCAGCAGGAAAACTTTCCAAAACAGAGGCTACTGGGAGTGATTCTGGACCTGAATCACCCTATCTACCATAATGGTATAGCTCACCGTGTGAATCCCATTCTTGGAATCATTCTCACGTCTTTCTGGATCCCCCTCAGATTCAACTGCACCTCACTTTTTTGTAAAATTTTGAACAATAGAAGCAAAAAATTGTGACTGAATAGGACAGAAAGTGGGCAGGATAGGGAGCCTTTCTTGGTGGGAAGAGAATAAACCTATGAAGCCATTTTCTTTATGTGATGGGTTTCTTGTGGGCCCCAAAGAGAAGTCTACATTGCTTACTCGAGGGAATCCACACCACCTGCCAACATGTGCAGGTGGTTTAGCGTCGTGATTGAGGTGGTCAGGTGGCGTTTGGCATGATCTAATTGCTTGATATCACGGGTGATTTCTTTGACCTAAATATTGAAAAACAACAGAAGAGAAAAGAGGAATGTTAAGAAAGTTTTTAACACTTCTGTGAGCAACTTCACAAGAAAATAATGCACATGAAGCAAGGAAAAAAACCTTCAGATAGCCCTGGAGAAATCACAAATATCCTCACAATTCAAAATCAAAATAATTTCTAATCTGCCCCTTTAAATTTAATTTGGCATTTCTTCAGACTTTATACAACAGGGTTACAAAACCCTCAGTGGTGAAAAATAAGTTAATTTTATTTGTCACCCTCAACAAAATGACCCAAAGAGCTTATAGGGTGCAGGTGCCAAGTTCAGCACATCTCCTTTTTTTGTTTGTTTTTAGTTACAGATGGACACAATAACTTTATTTTTATTTTTATGTGGTGCTGAGGATCGAACCTAGGGTCTCACACATGTGAGGCAAGCATTCTACCACTGAGCCACAACTCGAGCCCATCACATCTCCTCTTGAATAAGGTCAAAACAGTGTGACTTCTGCCTGTAGCTACTGGGTTCAGCACAAAATGGAGAGTGAGGCAGCTAGTTTTACTGAGATGGTCTTTACTAATGGAATTAGGGTTTATTGGTTGGTCTGCAGAAAAAAAAAAAAAGGCTTTCAAATCTCAAATTTAACTTCTGTAACATGAGCTTAACATGGAGCATTGTAAGAGAAGAGGGGCTTTAGGGAGCAAGAAGGCAATCTGGGGAATAAAATTCTGAGAGTGCTGCTCCAGCAGGCCTGAGAGAAAGAGACTCTATCTAGGAAAACAGGTGTACTTTAGTCACTGGGAAAAGTGGATTCAACAGAGAAGGTGGAGAAGTCCTCCAATTTTACTGACACCTAAATGAATTCTTTGACTAAACCAAGGCCATGATAACTGAGAAACATTCTTTTTAAAAAATTTTTTTAGTTGTAGATGGTTTTAGCTTCAATCCTAACATCATTAGGGACTTTAACTGCTATGTTTAAAGTCATAGTCATTAGTGTCCCTTCTCATTCTCTGCACTATTCATCAACCATTAAATCCTGACTATTCTTCCTCTGCCTAATCTCAAGAATCTATCCCTTACTTTCTCACTGCACTCACCAGAGCTGGCCAGTTTCTGCATTCCCAGGATCTCCTTTACTCCCATTACATGTCCTGTGCTGCTTTAAACAAACTGAGCATACAAGCCTCATTGGTAGAGCAAGGGGTGCTCAGGTCAAACTTACATAAGCCAATTCTGCAGAACTGATTACTCATGGTTAGTTTACCCTGTTTGTTGTCCATGGGCATCCAAACAAGATATGCTAGATTTTAGAGTTATCTAGGGCTAAATTCCAGCTCTACCACTTTTCAACTTTGTGTCACAGGCCAAGCTTCTTAGCCTTACCAAGTCTAGGTTTTCTAATCTATAAAATGATATTCATCAAAATAATAATGATAATGAAACCTAGTCCATAAGATCATCAGGAGGGCTAAGTTAGATTGCATGTAAAAAAGAAGTGGCATTGGGTCCAGAAATAAGTCCACATATTACAAATCAATTGATTTTTGACAAAGATTCCAGGAAGACACAATGGGAAAAGACAATTTCTGCATTGGGATAACTGGTTATTCACACACAGAAGAATGAAATAAGACCTTGTGTCTTACACCATTCATAGAAACTAACTCAAAGTGAAATCAAGACTTCAATATAAGATCCAAACTGTAAAATAGATGGAGGAAAATAAGAAGAAATCCTCTATGATATCAGTGTGGTCAATTATTTTTTGGATATGGACCCAAAAGTACAGGCAACTAAAGTAAAAATAGATAAATGGGATAACTACTGAACAATAGTTTTTAGACCCTGATTCGGCAATGAAGGAGTGTGAATGAGAGAAAGGAAGTAAATGAAATGAGTCTCATTGCTCTGTATATGTGGGGAGTCAAATTTTGGATATAATATAGGGGAGGATAGCATAAGTGGAGCCTGATTTTGTTTGTTTTGTTCACATGGTTAATATTGGGTTTTGAATGTTACACTGACCTTGCTTTTCTGGAATAAACCTCATTTGTTCTTGGGGGGGGGGGGAAAAACGAAGTGGCACCCTAGGTACGGTGGCACCTGCTTGTAATTCCAGTAGCTCAGGAGACTGAGGCAGAAGGATCTCGAATTCAAAACCTCAGCAAAAAGCGAGATGCTAAGCAACTCAATGGGACCCTGTCTCTAAATAAAATACAAAAAAGGGCAGGGGATGTGGCTCAGTGGTCTAGTGCCCCTTGGTTCAACCCCTAGTGCCAAAAAAAAGGAAGTGGCACCATGCTTGGCACATTAAAAGAACTCAACAAATACCAGTTCTCTCCTCATTCCTTCCTCCTCTTCCCCTTAGCAAAGCACTGTCCAGGGAAGCAAATAAGACATCTAATAATGCCAGATGCAGCTTACTTGAATGACAGGTCATTGCATGCCCCAACTGGAAGAGGAAGCATAGTCCAGAATAGCAAATTAGAATCAGAAGATGACTTATGAGCAAAAAATGAGTACAATAAACTCTAGCAAAAGTTGCATTTGACGTGTCACCTAATAATCACACTTCAACAGCCCCTGGTAGGTGCTGAGTGTAGTTCACTCTTTGGAAAGGACCATAAATCCAAATCCCTAGTACTCTATTCAGTTCTCTTCATATATTTAATCCTCACAATAACCCTGTTGACATAGATGCTGTCATTCTTATTTTATGGTTGAAGAAACAGAAATCCAGATGCATCATATTACTTAAAATTTCAATCCAGGAGATTGCATCTCATTGTCTCCATGGAATAACAGTGGTGACTGCTGACCTCTGGTCAGCAGAGTGGCCATCTGAGTACATCCCAAGGGTCCACAAATTTGAGGAACAAGAACTTAATTAAAACTATATGTATGTAAACTGAGCAGGGTGCAGCCCATCTCCCAGATCCAGGACCAGTTTTAGTTTGCTACTAAGTTACAAATCATCATGTATCTTGATTGAGAAATATGTGATATAAACAAATGCTAGAGAAAAAGCATCCAAAATGACTAGGAAACTATTTTGGGGAAAAGAAGAAAACTTTTCCTATTTAAATATGGGAATGAAAATGTAGTGCAGGAGGGATTGCCTAGCAGCTCCCCTTGAGTCAGTCCATAATGCACTCACAGGGACTTGCCTGAGAGATGTGGATGACTGTGGCTGGCAGGAAGTGGGGGAAAAAGTCCATTAATTACCATGACTGAGAGAGAAACTAACTTCCTCTGCGGATGCCAAAAAGCTAGGAGGAAACCTAAACCCACCATTTGTTCTGATTTTTCTGCTTTGTCTTTGATATCTTTGATTTTGCCGAAGAGTTGTTGAATAGCTTTCTGGGCCTCTTCAAGTGCCTAGATGAGAGAAATAAATGAAAAACAAGAAGCAATGCAAGACAGCACCAATCACTGCATCATAATCAATTCCAGTCTCAAAAGAAAATTACCATAAAGCTATCTTGATTCACTGTACACATGCTGACAATTTTACTGTACCAAAATAGTAGTGAAATAAGAGTCTAGAATTTAGATATAGGCAAATGCTTGGGACTCTTACCAATCTGCATCATAAAGTTTTAATTTAAAAACTAAGCCATTTTGCTCTATTTTGGTGATTACATTCTACTGATGACAACAAATAAACAGGACATGCACATTGTGTTGTGTGTGTGTGTGTATTCGTGCACGCACACGCACAATAACCTTCAAAACCTGTAAAGAGATAGAGGTGGCTCTAAGTTAGGGATAGGGAGAGCTCTGGATTTGGAAAGTTCCAGGAGACTGTGTCTTACAAAAAAAAATCAGCACTGTGTATGGGGGTTCCAGTATTGTAGCAAACCTTGAAGACAACTATAGCGTTGAACTTGAAATACCAATGAAATGAAATTAGAAAGGTACACTTGAATGGTGAGCCAAATGTGTCTATGGAAATAAAAACCTATAAATATGGATGCTACACATTAAAACTAAGACAACCCAAAGTATCTTTTGTGAGTAAGGACAGCAACAGGAGGGAGTTGGGAGGGTGTTAGTGCTACATACTTGTAGAACACATGCACTGCACTGTTCCTTGACTGAGGGTGACCTACAGCTGAAACACTGCTCTAAGTTCCTTGGCAGCTGGAGTGCCAGCCACACTAGGCAGCATTTCATTTACTTCTTCACTCATTCAACAAGTATATACTGAATATGTCCCATATGCCAGGGAAGGGAAGAGAAGACAAGAAAGCCGGGGATTGAGCCCTCAGGCATTAACACTGGGAAGTCAAGAAGAAAAGAACAAAAGAAAAGAACAAAAATGCAAGAGGAAAATCATGAGCAACATGAGAGAAAACCAAGCACAATGATGTCACAGAAGCCAAACAAAAGTGTTTAAAGGAGGAAAGGAGTGATTGTATCTTATGTTGTAGAAAATTCATGTAAGATTAAGATAGAAAAGTGCAACTGAACTCAACAAGGAAGTTGCTGCTGATGACCTTGACAAGAGCAGTTTCAGTGTAGTGCAGGAGGATGGAATCGGAGAGTGCCATGATGGAGAGAAACAGTGATACAGAGCAGGGACAAGCAAATGATGACCTGTAGGCCAAATACAGTCTGCTATCTGCTTTTGTAAATAATGTTTTTTTTTGGGGGGGGGGAAATGGCTTATTCAGGTATTATCTATGATTACTTTTCACCCTAGTGAGGATGGTCGCCACAGAGACCATACGGTCCACAAAAACTGAAACATTTACTGTATGGTCTTTAACAGAAAAAGTTTGCATTATGCCTACTATAAACTACTTTTCCAACAAGTTTTTGCTATGAGAAAACAAGAAAATGGGGTAATAGATGAGTAAAGGAATTTTTTTTTTTTCAACTGGGTACTGAACTCAGGGACTTACTCAGGCAAGACAAGTATTCTACCACTGAGCTATATCCCAGTGCTAAAGGGAGTAATTTTTAAAGATAAGAGATGCCTATAAATGTCTGTTATATAAATCAGTACAAGAGAAACTCATTGCAGGAGGTACAATGGAATAATTTTAGAAGGACTTTTTAATAATGTTCTTGCACTGTCTAAAGTGTAAGGATTAGCTGTCTAACAAGAGTTATATAATCCTTTGAGTATACACCAAGGATATGAATAGCTTTCTAATGTGTCCTATAATTAAAGCACTCATCCATCCTAGTTTAGCCAGGACAGTCACAGTAAATGACTACTGACTCAGTATAATTACTAACAACTCCCTCTCACTGTCAAAAGTGATGCTGTTAATAAGCTACATGGTCACCTTACCTACAGCATCAGCCAAAGCTACTGCATAGCTGGAATTCCACAAATTTTTGCCAACTGATTTAAAATACCACCAGGGACAGTGTTGCATGCCTGTAATTCCAGCTACTCAGGAGGCTGAGGCAGGAAGATTGCTAGTTGGAGGACAGCCTGGTCAATTTAGTGAGAACTTCTTTCAGAATACATTTTAAAAAGAACTGGTGGTGTAGTTCAATGGTAGAGTGCTTGCCTAGCAAGACCCTAGGTTCAATCTTCAGAACTGAAAAGAGAAAAAAAAATGAGCCAATCATACAAGTGGCAATGCTGAGATTATTGCTCTGTATGAAGGGGGCTGACACCCATCACTCCCCCTAATTTCCGGGATCAATTATAAGCATTAGTTCAAAATCACAGCATCACACTTGCTACTGATATAATCTATTTGGCTAATATGGAGTCTAATGCCCTAGATGCCCCAAGGGGGTCAGTAAATTCTAAATCCACTGAACACTTCTAAAAACTGTTGGGTTATATGAAAAAGTACCTTGGAGACCTTGCAGGCAAATGACCACTAAAAAAGACTGACCTTCTTGGGCATGGCTTGCATAAAATTCTGTGATACTGCATGTCATGTTATAGTGACGTGCTGACATAGCCAAACACCCCGAACACATGACATTCAGCCAGGAAGGCAGAACGGGCTAAGGTCTATACTTAGATTTCTAAGTCTAAACAAGGACACACCATCCTTCCTAAGGGAAAGAGTTCTATCTCTATTCCCCTCTTATTCTCAATCTGGCATCGTACCAGAACTGTCTTCACTGAAAGTAGAACTTTTTTCCTCCAGCAAACAAATAAGACTCACACAATCTTACATTTCATAGTCTTTATGAAAGATAAACAGTCTTCCAGATTACAGATTTTTTTTTCAGGCTGGAATACTTTTGCTTTTTATAACAATGTACTAAAGTTGGTGAAATTTTTTTTTTTAAAGAGAGAGAGAGAGAGAGAGAGAGAATTTTTAATATTTATTTTTTAGTTCTCGGCGGACACAACATCTTTGTTGGTATGTGGTGCTGAGGATCGAACCCGGGCCGCACGCATGCCAGGCGAGCGCGCTACCGCTTGAGCCACATCCCCAGCCCTGGTGAAATTTAATATAATTCATTTTCCAGAGTCAAAAAGTTCCTTGAAGTATTCATTCTATCAAGAAAGTCCATTCTCATAGACACTCTAATTTTGATATCTAACCTCTAATAATCAATAACACAGAAAAGAACATTTTGTAATTGGAAGAATCACAAGAACTATAAAAGGATTTTATTTTTAAAAAATACTCAAATACTTTTACTACCTGGGTAATCAGAAAATGTGCTGAAAGATTGATTCTGGCATTGTCTCTAGACACTCTTTAAAATAAAATGTAGCTACTTTCCATTCCAAACTAGATGTGGACTAAAAACAGAACTAATTGCCCCAAAATATCTACTTTCAATCTACTCTGAATTTCTCCCTCTACGTGGACTTTCTGAATCATGCACCGATGTGTGGCTGCAGCCTGCATCTGAGGGTGTTATTAGGCAGCACTTTCTATGGTGGCCCTCTTTAACTCAAAGTCTACATTCAGGATATGAAAAACAACCCACTGAGCTAGCTTCCAAGTCTCAGCAAAACCAATAACAATAGCTGTTTTTTCTGTGCATCATTAAGTGTATCCCTTACTCTTAATTTTCCTTGCCTTCTGAAGGAGCCTCTGAACAGGCTCCCAAGCCACACTAGATCATGTTCAAAGAAGATAAGCAGTATGGGATCTGGCCCAGGCTCTACTGCTTTCTTCTCCCCTCCATATTTTTATTTTCTGAAGACCTGTTGTTAGCCTCCTGTGTAGATAAAGGGGCTCTGAACCAATGGAAATGCTTTAAGAAATCAACATTGCCTCTAGTCTTAAAATGCATCTAATTTTGAAGTTTGCTCTATCAGATAATTATATTTCCTTTATTCTGTGAGTCCACAGGCAGTCTTTTAGAGATTTTAAACTGAGGTCCTATTTGTTTTCACTGCAGGAAGGAGAAAAGGTTGTTCATTTTCAGAAGAATTGGTATGGCTTTAGACTGTTCTTTGAAAAAAAAAAACAGATGCTAAATCCAAGGTTACTAGGAAAAAACTTACAAATTTTTCATCACTCTGTTATCATTTCTATTTTCCACCTTCCCATCTACCTGCTAGTTCTTTTCTATTTATTGCATGGAAAACAATGCACTGTATTAGTTAAAGCAAGAGTTTTTTAGCACTGGGATTTGATGATTGGCCTTGCCATTAAATAGTATGATCTCTGTTAAACCACTAACCTTCTAGAGGGACAGTTTCATAATTTCTAGAACAGAAAATAACATCACCTATATCAAAAACATTTTGTTTAGGAAGGAACACAGGGCTAGGGAGTGAACACCTTTGGAATTGTTGGCCCAGTATTCTTTCTCCCCCAGCCAATCTTTTCTCAATGTTTCCTTTAGAGTCCACTGTCCAAAGGGCAGAGGAGGCTCAAGCTGGGCCAATCAGAGTTTTCCTGTGATATTTACAGAGCTGGATTGGGAAAGAGGGTTCATCTATCTGGTAGTAGAAGAGGGTTCATCTATCTGAGTTAGATAGCAATGAGGTTTCCCAGGAACAGGAGGAAGCTGGTCTCCAGCTAATGCAGCCCATAAAGAGATACAGACTTAGCTGATATGAAGTAGTGCTTCATTCCTGGGCTGCAGCTGCATAACAAGTTCAGTTGAGACATTCCTCTTCCCACAGCTAGATTGTTCAACTTCCTTCAAATCAAGACACAATAATATCTTTTCAAATAATCCCTTTTTGCTTAGGATACTTGTTTATTTACAGTATAAAATCTGGAGATTTAACCCACTGAGCCAAATCCCCAGCCTTTTTTTGTTTTTTATTTATTTGGAGACAGGGTCCCACTAAGTTGCTTAGGGCCTCACTGAATTGCTAAGGCTATCCTTGAACTTGTGATCCTCCTATCTCAGCCTCCCACGCTGCTGGGATTATAGGCATGTGCCACTGCACCCAACTGCTAAAGACATCTAAATTGCGATTT